CATTCTGGTGCATCATACCCATTGTTGACTCTGAGTTACATTGTTTATTAGTACAAATAACTTACTGATGCGTCAGGTGAACTCTACGTGTCATCATAACATGTAGTTATCAATGTTTACGTGCACAGTCGATCCCTTTATCTTTGTTCACACCAAACACAAAGCATTTTTGGTTGCAACACCAATACATACAAAGTCAATGCCTAGGAGACAATGCAAACACATATTTGTTTTGAGTAGGAGCCAACATGATAAAGACATGGTTAGATACAGTATGTCTTAAAATGATGATGGTAACATTTTCAAAACAGCAGTAAGTGTTTTGAATAAGGTCCTGGACGGTCTCTTTTTTTATTAACAGCCTAATGTACAGGTCATAAATAATCTCCTATAAATATCCTATTAACTACATGTCTGCTTCTGTAATGCAGTTTAGACGCAGTATGTTTGCAACTACAGCCACTGTCTTGCAAAATATTTAAAAAAACAAACTTGTCAAAGTGTACTTTCAAGTTTTTGCTGCAGCTCAAGAGATAATTACTTGCAAAACTTCTTATAAGTTATCCCAAGAGTGAGACAGAACTAACCATCTTCGAAAATGCATTTAACAAAAGAAGAAGCAGTATACCATTTTAAATCATATATTATACGATGAGAGTCTATTTTTGAGCACCGTCATTGTTAACCTCCATTAGAAGAGTCACAGGGACGTTTGTCCTCTCATTGACTGCCCGGAGTCTACAGTAAATGATTAGATTACTGTGTGACGTCACAGCAGGGCACCGAAAATCAATGAACTGTCATCTCTGAATACTAAATACACTGGTCCCTGTGTGTGTGCGTGTGTGTGTGGGTGTGTGTGTGTGTGTGTGTGGGTGTGTGTGTGTGTGTGTGTGGGTGTGTGTGCGTTCCCCTTCGTCTTCGTCTGTCATTAATTCTGGCCCTCATCAACGGCTCTCTCTCTCCAGTGTGTCTGCCAAAGATGAAGTCAGCACACATGAATACATACTGGCCGACCACAGTAATGTAAGAACTGAACTGTATGAACTGAACTGTATGAACTTACCTCTGTAACAAAGAGCACATGCACTGTTGTATAACTGGAAACCATTGTTTGACTTTGGTGAATGAGGACAAACACCATAATACCATAACAGGTAACATTATGTAATGTTTCTATGATAGCACAAAGAGATTGGTTTTGTTGCAATTAGATTAATTTGAAGTCACTTTGTTTCTAGTTTTCAGATAAGGGAGGGTTTATCCTCTGAGGTCCATGAGTATTAACTGGAAATGTCTTGGAAAAAGTGCCATATTTGTAGTTTAAACGGACATTTGGAGTTCACAGAGTCAGCATACCTCCTATGTTTCCTACTGGCTGATCACAGTAGTGCAAGAAAAACAATGTTTGTTGAGAAACCTTGAACTAGGGTCAATCATTATTCTGTTATTCATTTTCAAAGACTAACATAGCTATTTTTAAGACATTATTTAAATGTGGGCCACTGGCTGAGCAACTTTTACTGAAAGGAACGAGATCCAGATCCTAATGCATCCATGGAGACACAAACAGGCTTGTAGGGTGATAATGACTAAGTGACTGCTTGCCTTTTTGACTCAAGCAACTTTGAAACAAGCAAGTCAGGAAAACTACAAAAGCAGTGAGTGAAAAAGATGCTATCCTAAATCAAATCTGACCTAGAAAAATGCAATACGAGTAAAATACTCATTTCAATTATACAACGTCAGTATGTGTAGGAATGTTTATATGCAACGTGCTAACTTCCGTATAAACGTATTAAAACATATGTGGTAAGTCGTCTGCTCAACATTGTTGGGTTTTGCATTGAGGATAAGTTGCGTTAAGGAGCAAGAGTTAATGAGTACATACTGCTAAATCCAAACACTGAAGCTCATTGCTATTGCTATTCACAGCGAGCTAACTAGCCAACAAGCTAGTACTTAGCGTCATAAAGCACTGGTCATGCTTTCTACTAGGCTTTGGAGAAGTTTCCAAAAAGTGTCTTCTCTTCGAGGTCTTCCATTGGTTCTCACATATAAACATACACTCACACACACAGACACACACAGCGAGGAATCATGTTGAGCATGAACCGTCTTCCGTGTTCATACGACGACCTTGAATTCAATTTAAAATGTTTTATATGAATAAACATGAACGCTGAAATATAACTATAATTGGCAATATGGACCATGCATGGTAAGTGAGTGTATCATCTGAATACAGGACAACAGTGTGTGTGTGTGTGTGTGTGTGTGTGTGTGTGTGTGTGTGTGTGTGTGTGTGTGTGTGTGTGTGTGTGTGAGTGTAACAGCAGAGTGTGTGTGTTATGTAGGCTGTGCTGAGTGATTGATCATAGGGAGCAGGGAAAAGCAGGTTACTGCAGCGCTCACACACACACACACACACACATATATACACACACACACACACACACACACACTCCCAAACACACACACCCTCTCTGAGCGGGCTCCTTTCGGCGTTTGCTCTTTCTCATTTCCCTCTCTCTCCCTTCCCCCCTTATTCCATCTCCATCTTTGCCTCTCCTCGTCCTCCTCCCATCCTTCCTCCCATACTCTCACTCTCTCCATATATCACTCTCACCTCCCTCCCTCTCTCCCCCCCCCCCCTAAAGCCATCACTCTTCCCTCCTTCCTGTGGTTCACCTCCTCTCTGCTCCCGTCCCTCTCACGCCTTCTTTAGCAGCCAAACCCATCTTGTATCTCCCCCCCCCCTCTCCATATTTCTCTCTGTCCTGTTATCCAGAGCCCAGGGGAATGGAGAGACATTGTCACGTGTCTCCCCTTCTCTCCTCCTCCTCCTCCTCTCTCCTCCCTCTGTTTTCTAGCTGCAGTGGTAAGCAGAGGCTTCATGTCTCTCAGGGCTGCCTCTATAAATCTATTTGCAAATGGAAGAAACCAACACATCGTCCTCATCATAGACTTTAACAGGTTGGGCATATTTAAAGCTAATGCAATAGCACTCATGATGGTTTGGCACATTGAAAGCTTGTGTACTTCATGGTTGAATGCACTTATTATAAGTCGCTTTTTTTGTCTGTATCTGTAATCTATTTATGCTTGCGTACATTTACCCTCTGATAGATGGATAAAGGAATTATTATTTGCATACAAAGCGTCAACTAAGTAAAATACAATGACACGATTTTACTCAGAAACTCCACTGGAAAAATGCAATATTCTCTTATTGGGTGTTTTGATTATAGTGGTGGAAATGTTTTTAATGATTGCTCCCAAACCCCCCAATGAGGTTATAATGATGCATCTATAGTAGACTTCATATTTTACACTCATCTTAAAGGTGGGGTAGGTAAGTTTGAGAAACCGGCTCGAGTGCGCTAGAATTTGAAAAT